GAGGAGGTTCTATCTATTTCCTTTCCCTGCCCACTTAACCCTCAAGGCCCTAGGATTCTAAAGAGTCACGCCTCTCCTTGAAGTGAGAGAGGCATCTGTGTGGGAGGGCAAGAAATTAACATTCTTGTTTTGGTAAGTGATGTTTTCTATTACCTTGCTGTGCTGTGTTGGGATTGTCTTTCTTCTTTAAGAGGGAAGGCCAGAGTTAGGGAGAAGGGCAGCCTGATTGAGTTCACCTTCCTGTTCCAGGTGGAACTGGAACACCTGAAAAATTCATCAGATGCACTCTGAGCCTTCCTTTGCCCATTAGAAAGTGTCCCATTCCAGTTCTCCTTATAGCTACCCTCCTTCCATCCAGCGACAGGGTGAACCCCTAGTCCATTAGAAAGATGAGTGAACCAAGACCCGTGAGGCCTGGGCCCTAGTCTTCACTCTACTTGATTCAGTCACCAGTTAGTTATGTGACATGTTCTTCACCGCTCAAGGCCTGTTTCCCTCCCCTTAAAATGGGGGTTATTATCCTGGCTTATACCCCAGAAAGGATACATAAAGAATCATTCATGTAAGTGTCTGCTGTGTGCCAGGCTCTGTGCTGGATGCTAAGGATTCTAGGAGGAAAGATGACCACTCCCTCAAGGACATTTCCGCTGGCTCAGAAGGAAGGTCACAGCACAAGACAGGGCCTTGATGGATGTTTATAAATCACAGAGAAGGCAGAGGAGAAGGGAGCCATGAAAGCAAGTGAAGTCACAGCGATGTGAGCACTTGCCATTCCAAGGGTGTGTATGGGGTGTCCTCTCTGCCAAGGCACTCGGCTGGGAGCTTTGAAGAAACACAAGGGCCCCATCCTCAAGGAAAGAACTGGCATTCTGTCAGAGGCATAAGAAATACACAAATAATTATAGGACAGAGCAGGATAAAAAGGTGCCAAGTAAAGGATCGCATTCATTTGGTGTTTGGGAGGACCTCATGGAGAGGTACGGGGAGCCAGGTGGGAGGAGAATTTAGTTGTCAGGAGAGATGTAAAGAAACCCCTGTCAATGAGGAGGAGGCAGAATTAACTTGGCAACTGATTAAATGTGGGGAGCTGGAACAAGGGAGACATCGATGGTGCCTTATTGAAAGACAGTGTCACTGAACCCAAAGGTGGTGCCTTCTGGCTCTGGCCAGGGCCATGCAGAGCAGGGGCGTGCTCAGTCATTGTGTCTGTGTCTTTGCTTCTCTTATTGACCAAGTGCGAGAAAAGAAGGACGTTCCCCTTGGCCCCGAAGACCCCAAAGAAGAGGATGGTTCATTTGATTACAGGTGCGTGATCTCCTTGGCCCCTGTTCACACACAGTGCCTCCTGTTGGGTGGGCCGTCCTCACTGCCCCTGAGGCAGCACCCTCCCCACAGAGCAGCTCGGCTTGGCTGAGAGGCCACTGCATTGATGCCCTCGCCCATCGTCCATCGGGCTGTCACCTCTGCCTCTCTGTGACAGCACTTGCTTGTCCTGATTGTGCCAGACCAGGCTGTCCCCACACTGCCCGACTCACACTCATTCCATGAACAGCATTTCTTCATTCATCTGCACAACTCGGATTGATTGAGCTCCTTCTATTATACATGCGATTCCACCTCTTTACTCTGAAAACGAGCCCTGGGTCCTCAGCTTCCACTCTGCCTACACCCCACCCCAACCCTGAAGGTAATAACCCAGGGAAGCCATATTGTCAAAAATCATGGACTAGGCGAGGGATAAAGGGCAGTTGGGGGGCGGTGGGGGGGGAGCACTAGGCCTTTTCCTCATGAACTTGAGCAATATCTCTGGGCTCTAGCCTGAAATCGGCCTTGGAGAGGCATTCGGTCCAGTGCCTGTCCCAAATGAGAGGACTGAGGCCCAGACTGAGAAGCGACTTTGCCACCTAGTGAGTTAGTGCTTCCAGCTACTGCCATTGTCGTAGGCCTGTGCTCGTCCTCAGATCCAGACAGGCCTTCTGATCTGGCTTAACAAAGTGGTAATCTGTCCATTTTGATGGCAAGTATATTTTGAGTTAAGGAACAATACAGGATGGGTCATGGAGGTCTCATTCCCAGACTGAGTGGGGTGGGAGGAAACACTCTCATCAGAGCCCTTCCTCCTTCCTCACCCCACCCAGTCACTCTCTGGGGCCAGGTCACCCGTCTCCTCCTCTGACCTCTCCTTATTCCGTCCTGGGCCTCCGCCACTCTGTCCATCAGCAGCCTAGCAAGCAGGTCAGATCAGTGGGCGGCAGAGCCGCTGCCCACACAGGAGACCATCTGGCGGCTCCAGGACCATGTCCGTCCATCCAGTCCCAACCTCCCCATGAGCCTCCCAAAGGGCAAGCGTGAGAGAGCCTTCGTCTGACTCTCCTCAGCACCCCTGGGGGGGCCCCCCCGCATCCCCATGAGCTGAGAGCTGTTCCCTGGTTGTCCGTTCCGAAGGCCATGGGGCTTTCTGTCTCCCCGGCCCTCAGTGCGGCCACAGAGGAGGGGTGAGGACCTCCGCATACAGGGCCAGGCAGCCTATGCTATGAGAAGCTGCTGCTTCAGGTACCTCTCCGCCCCTAGACACTAAGACTGGTAGGCAAAACCGCTGCCTCCAACCCACCCCACCACTGCCCCACTGACACTGAGGCTGGCTCTATATGCACGTGCCTCACACCGCGCATGCACCCCTCAGCTTTGCCTGGGGGTGGGGAGGGTTAGGTTCTGCAGCATCCATCCTAAAGCCCCTCCTGGGATGAGTCCAAGAGTCCTAAACTGGGACAGGGCTAAAAGTAATACATCAGAGGAAAAACCAAGTTTCTGGGTGGGACAGACCTGGGGACAAGGGGGAAATTGGCTCACCCGGCTCCACTCTGTGGCCTAGCTGCCAAAGCATCTCTCTTGTGAGGTTCCCTCTACTTCCCTCTCCTTTGTCTGCCCTCCTGGTGCTCCAAGGTCATTTGGAAGGCGGGGCCAGGGTTCCCCAGCCATCGGCTTCTTTCAAGCTTCCCTTAGGAGAGGCCCGTGCTTTCCAGACCTAGAGCCCCTGTCCCCTCAGAAACCTGACACACTAAAGCCCCTCCCCTGCCTCCCACCTGCAGGGCCATCCCTTCCCTGCCCCGTGGTTGCATTTTACTTAAGTGCCTGGAATGCCCACAAATCACAGAGCCCCCATCTTCACATTCCTGCGGGTAGGGTGGAGGGTCCTGGGGAGGGGGTGCGTGTGAAAAACCCTGGCAGATGGCATAAGGAGCCCGATAATTAGAATCTGCTAGTTCTCTTGAATGTCCATCTACAATAGTTGCTAGATGGGATGTGGCCCAATTCATGAATCGCCTAATAAAGCCAATTAGATCTTCAAATGGAAAAAAAAAAAGCATCTGATAGGTTTCAAAGGTGAGTTCTACTTCCTGCACAAACCCTGGAGACCCACTTCGCTCACTCAGGGCGCCTCTCCTGTGGCACTGCCGCCAGAGAACACAGGCTATGTTAGTGGAGCCGCATTCACTCAGCATGTGTGGGGGGGGGGCGGGGGAAGGACACTAATAGCTTTCCATCTACTAATGCCCAGCTCCTGTCCGGCTCTGGCTCACGGCGCTCCCCTGACAGCTGTCTTTGCCCAGCACTGCTGTTAGAAGCGAGAACAATGGCCCAATATAACGGGAACTCGGCCTGTTGTTTTCAACACCCCCAGGAAGGACTAAGTGTGTGTGTGGGGGGCTGTATCTGCTCAGATCGCCTGGCACCACTGTGGTCTCACCTACTGGGACCCAGATTCTCACTGCTGGTCCTACTGCCTCCTGCCTGGAAACTCATCTCCCTTCTGAAGGACAGCCAGCAGCACCTGGGTCCCCCTCTGAGCCTAAAGGGCAGAGAGTTTTCCAGCCAGGGGAAGGGATGTGGTGCCTGAGCTGACACCCTGCCCACACGGGGTGTCTCACTTGCTAGGGACACAGCAGGCACAGTGGGCAGATGCCACTTTAACCAGCAGCCTCCCAGCCGTCCTTGCTAGTTTTTGTCTCAAGTTGCCTCATATTATCAGCGTACCCCTCCTTCCTCAATCCTTCTTTCACTTGCTAGGCCTAAAGCAACAGCATCTGTTTGTAGATAAACCAGAAAGAGAGAGCTGAGAGAAACAATACCTAGACAGAGAAGGGGAGAGACAGGGCAGAGGCTTGTTTCTTTAAGGCCCAGACCCTGGCTTTTTGTCAAGGGCAGAGCCTTTCCAGGCAAAGTCACAGATGACAGTGAATCAAACGAGCCCAGCCCCTCCTGATGGAGACTAAGCTCCAATGAGAAGGGTTTTCACAAGGCCATAGAACCGCACAGTGATACACTTGCGACTAGAACTCCCATCCTGACCCTTTCATCCTGCCTGGCCTCACAGCAGTGGCCTCTGCCTTATCAGGGTGGCCATCCTCTGCCTGTTCCCACCCCAGAGAGTAGCTCGGCCTCACGGAGATGACCTCAGAGCAGGAGTCTACAAGTATGGGCTCCTATGCCAGCTCTGCACCAACTGACCTCACCTTGGAGAAGCTGCTTGTCCTCTCCAGGCCACAGTTTCCCGTCTGTAGAGCTGGCTGGACAGGGGAGGGCTGGACTGGGTGGTCCCTGAGGTCCTGTCCTCTCTGAACTGTGAGTCGCATGTATCGTGTGTCCATCCCACCTGGGTTTGGGCAGCACTGGGCTGGATTGGGCCCTGATTCTCTCTCTCTCTCTCTCTCTCTCTGGCCAGTGACGAGGACAACAAGCCCCTGCAGGGCAGCCAGACGTCCCTGGACGGCACCATCAAGCAGCAGGAGAGTGATGACAGCCTGGTAGACTATGGTGAGGGCGGCGAGGGCCAGTTCAATGAGGATGGTTCCTTCATCGGCCAGTACACAGTCAAAAAGGACAAGGAGGAGACCGAGGGCAACGAAAGCTCAGAGGCCACATCACCCGTCAACGCCATCTATTCTCTGGCCTAACAGAGCCCCCCCAGTCACAGCCACTACTTCGCAAGTAGGAGGAGGGGAGAGGGGGAGACGAAGCCACCGCCACCTTCAGGGACAAGGGTACAACATGGGGGTCTGCCAAGCTGTGAGGACCACTGACCACCCAGCCAACCACAAGCCCCCTCCTAATGACCCCCCCCCACATCTGGGTGCCACCTGTGTGGGAGAGCTGGAGCCATGGCCAAGCTCAGCCAGAGGGAGCCCGGGCCCCTTGCTCAGCCTGAGAGCCACCCTGAGCCTTCTACCCACACTGCCCGCCCTTAACCTCGGACACACACTCACCAGTGTCTTCTATTGGTTCTGGTACTTTTCACTCTTTATTTTTGCTTTGTGCATCTTCCCCTCCAGACCCAATGTCTCCATTTTCTTTTCCTTTTGAAGAAGTATCCCTGGAAAAAGAAGAGGTGGAGTCTCTCCCAGAAAACTGTAAAGATAGGCAAAAAGGATCGGTCCGTAAAAGAACCTAGAGAAAAGCTGCAGTATTCATACCACGCTGGGCCAATGTATTTCCGAAGGATGCCTTTCTCGCCATATTGTCTCCTCACGCCCGCAACCCATCCGCCTCGGCCTTGTCAGTTGCTAAGCTGGGCTTGGCTCCTTTCTGGAAAATGACAGTATTTTTGGCAGGGATAGGGTGGGCAGGGCTCCTTGCCTTGCTCTGGCTCATTTGGGAGGTGGGCTTACCTCTTGCTCCTCGCTCGTACCCTGCCCCTTCCTCCAGACTGTCCAAGACAAGAGCTGCACTGACTCTGATGAAGGAGTTTGAGGAACAGCAGTGGGCACTGATGGAAAGGACTTCAACTCCAGTGACCATGTACCTCAAGCAGAAGAAAATCAGGCGTCTGGTCCCTGGAGAGCTGTGCTCACCTCAGGAGAGAAGAAAAGGGCTGGGTTTCCTCAGCAGTGACACCCAGGATGCAGGAGAGAGGGCCGTACCCACTGCATCCAGAGTGGAGGGCGCCCCCTCCTGGTCAGGGGTCTGCACTGTTGCCCCCAAGGAGATGGAACCCTGTAATGCAAAAGCTTTGCCGGTGTGTTTGGGGGTGTCAAGTACTGCTCCCCCTTTCACCTCTAGCAGGTATCATCTCTTCGGTCAATTCTGTATGACGTTGAAACTGTGGATGGGGCTCTATTGCCCCAACACTGAGCCAGTGTGTCCTTTCCTTAGGGTATTTACATATCAGGAGACCCTGTGGGGCCACCGCACTAGCAGTGCTGTAAAGCCTGGCCTGGAGGATTCAGTGCTGTTCGTATGCCTTATGCAGCTCTGATCTGTCCCTGTAGTTCCCAGGTTCCCAGCCCCTCCCTGCAAGCCTTGAAGCCTCCAGCAATGTCTGTCTCAAGGAGGACGGAGCGGCCTATGCAAACATCACGGCAGAATCAGAAGTAGCCACTCGACACATGCCCTGCAACCTGTTGCCCCAGATGGAGACACTCGCAGACCTACAGTTCTCAGAGACCGAAGGCGCTGCCTTCATCTACCCCACCTAATCCGCTTTTGAAACCAAAGGTACCTAGCCTCAGAGGAGCAAGATCTTGAGCCTAGGAGGAACCCTGTTGCTGTTGCTGCAGCTAGCATCAGTTTCAGGAGGGGGAAGCTAACCCTAGTCATGGGCCACCTGCCACAGATACAACCTCTGATTTGAGCCTCCAAGCTGCTTGCCACGGGGCCTGGGCAGGGACAGGGCTGTGTCCTTTAGAGATTTTATTAAAGCATCATTTGCCATGTGTTTAAGCCGCAAAGGTATTAGTAATGTTTGCATCACTTAGTAACCAGTCAGTGAAGGTCAAGCCCATAGATACACATACTCTGTCTGCAGGTAAGGAACCATAGCCCAGAGCTGAACCAATTATATTGTTTGAACCTGAGAGCAAGTAACATCCTTTGGCCCCAGCCATGGCTAGGTTTGCTGCCCGGAAGCCCAAGGGGGAGCTCTCATGGTGACGGGACAAGGTGAATAGCAGGGAGCTGGGAAGTGGGCTCCCTGGCTATCCTCTGACACCCTCTTAGACACAGCTGAGTATTCCTAGGCCCAGGGTCCCTGAAGGGTATGTCAGGGAAGCGTGCCTGTGAGCTGAATGAAAGCACCGGCCTTTCCAGAAAACGCTGTGCATCTGAGCAGGGTAGTCCCTTTCTCAGGCCCTGAGTCCGTGTTGTACCATACACGCAAGTGAACTTATTACACTGAAAACGGTCTCTTAGGGCGAGAAGGCCTGGGAGAGGTTATTGTACCCATGCCTCTGCCTCTAGAAGGCCTTCTGGACAACTGATGACCAGGGAAGGGCCTCTGCTACCACTGGGTCTTGGGGAGAGGTGTTCTTCAGCCTGTCTTTGCTCCTTGTTCATGTCCTGCCAGACTCTGTACCATCCCCCATCATGTATGAAGATAGCGCCATCAGCCCTATCACGAGGCTGCCCACACCACCACTCCATCACAGCCCTCCTGGCAGGCAAGCACAAACCTGGGCCTGAAGAACCAAGTTGTCCCCAAGCAAGGATGGCAAGTGCTTAGAGAGATCTGTGGGTTGCAGTGTTAGGGTTAAGGAAGAGCCCTTCTAGGAAGAGGAAAGTCCATTTTCCATGGCGCCCATGCCAGAGTCCACCCAGCTCAGCAGGAGAGCAGCATTGTTCCGCACTCCCTGCCAGCTGGGGCTCTCAAGCAACCACCCCAAAACAACCAACTGTGATGCTAGTAGAGGGCAATGCCATCGGTGCTTCAGCTTTTCTGGCTGGGGGGGGTCGGAGGGGAACAGTGTAGGTCATCTCATAGCGACTAGGAATTCCATTGCCTGTTCTGTGACCCCACTGTGTGCTAGGCCAGAAGAGCTGTGGCTCCCTGTGCCCTCATTTTGTCTGGCGATCTGCTCAGCATCCTCTTGAACACTGAGTGCGAGCCAGGCTCTGAGCCATGGACACCATGGTGAAGAGTCGGGTGTAAACCCTGCCCTCTCAGGGCTGACAGTCCTGGACATGAGCCTTGGGACACAGTGGCCTTGATTGGGAGCACTCTGAGCACGTAAGTCACCAGTGGCCTCAGGCTTGAAGGGAGAAGCTCCAGAGGGAGAACTTGGTCCACAAGGCTGGGCAAGACGGCCTCAAAACCTACAGGGGCAGCTGAGGACACAGCCCTGCGTCCTGAGCCCCTGCTCTGCCCCTCCAGGCAAATGGCTTAACCTATCTGTATTTTGGTGCCTCAGTCTACCCTATTTAGTCCCTCCTTGAATATCTTTCCCCACAGAGGGGCGTGGGCCCACCTGAGGGAGCAGGGGAGGCCAGTGTCTGGGAGCACACCCCTACAGGGACGGGACAGCTGCCTCCCACGTTGCCTGGGTTACAGAGAATGGGACCTATTCTTGATTTGCTTTTGAAGAGATTGCTGAGTTTAAGCTAAAGGGAAAACCAGTCTAGCTCCTTCCCTTGTCCGCTGCCTTTGCTCTGAGAGGTTGGAGGTATCTGGTCACCCCCTCTCTGGCAAGTCCCAGGGTCTGGAGAAGTGTCCACCTGTCCAAGAAGCAGCCAGTGCCAATATTGCTCACCCTGCAAAGGGTGTCTGCCGCCTGGGCCCAGACAGGGCTTTCATAGTTTCCCTGAACACAGTTGGCCTTAGCAAAGGGGTAGAAACAGATTCGAGGATATTTGTGGGTTTCCCAGCTAAGGGGCTGCCTCCCCTCACCCGTAGCCAGCACCCACACATGGGCTCACCCACACATGGGCACACACAGCATACCAAGGCCCCACTGCAGGGCGGACCTCGGGGGAACAGTACAGATAATGGCATTGTCTTGGAGACGGTGATTCTATACCCAGGCTCACTGCAAATGTGAAGGACTTCGTGGGGTACAGTGTACAACGTGGGGCAGGGGGAAGAAGCTGGCCTGGCTGGGCCCCCTTGGGGTGATTCCTGAGGGCAACACCGAGAGAGAACAAGCTTGATGCAAAGGAGAGGCAACCTCCCCCAGTAACTGTACATTCAGTGTCTTTTGAAGGCTCCCGGAGCCCTTTGCAGGCTCAGAGCCAAATCGCAGAGCATTTACAAACAGCCCTGTGACAGAAGGAGTGGGGATTTAACACACTTTTGCCCATGTCTTTGCAAGGCTACTTCGGTAACACTGAAGAGGAGAGGAGGCTCCTTGAGCTTTTGGTCAGCGGGGGCTGGTGCCAGAGAACCACTTCTCAGTGGGAGGGCACAGGCGCCTGGGACACAGGCACAGCACAGTCTCCCCTGTTGACACGTGGGTCACCACGCCAGCAACCCCTGCCCAGTTAGGTCCACTAAAAAGAAGTCACCCTGTAGATCTGGTTGAGATTTGCGTGGTGACTTAGGAGTAGCATAGAGGAGGTCTTTGATTAAAAAAAAAAAAAATCAGGAGTCAGGAATCAAACAAATGAAACAAAGAGCTTGAAATGTCAGGAGACTCAATGTTCTGGGGCAGAGCCCTTCTGGACAGCCCCCTTCTCTTAAACCAGGCAGGGGTGACCATGGGCGTTCAGACCAACCTTGCAGCTGCCCCCAGCCTGCCCAGCCCAAGCCAGAGCAGCACTCTCTCCTTCCCTAAGAATGGACCTTCCTGAGACAGGTTCGGAGAGGGATTCGAAGGAAAGGTGGACAACCTTCCAGGGAAGCCACAGGACCCCACTAAACCAGTGCTCCTCTGTCAGTATATTAGTATTAAATGGATGGTCCATAATGGTAAGGATGGAAACGAGATATGGACAAAGCGTCCAGCTCAGGATCACTTCAGATTTCATCATGAGACGGAACCACAAAGCTGATCTAATTGAGATGATTCATTAGACAGACAAGGACACTAAAATCTGCGGAGGTGAAGGGCCTTGCCCAAGATCACACAGCTAGTAAATCAAGGTGAGGTTAGGGCTTGAACTTGGGCCCTCCAACTCCTTGTCCAGTGTTCTTGCATCTCACCCCCGCTGCCTTCTTGGAAATGGGTGTACTTACCTCTGTGCTGCTGGTTCACCCTGTCATACCCCTTCACCACGTCTCAAAATGACCAAGGATTTCTCTGAGTCCAACATCAGTGTGTGACAGCCTGTGGTGTTAAGGGCAGACCCAGGCCAGGAGAAGGGTGATGAGGTGACTGGCGTTTGTCACTGTGAAGCCTAGACTTGTCTCCTGCTCATCATATATCGGGTCCCCAGCATGCTGTGTCCCTCGGAAGTGAGGACATAAAGACCTCTCTGACCACTCCACCCTTGGCCGCCGGGTGCCGAGGGGCAGCAGCGCCCGTATAAGTTCTGCCACCCTGGGGTTCGCTGGGCTGGAGTTCAGCACATGTAAAGACTTCAGTGAAGCAATAAACACAAAAGTCTGGGGAAAGAAATCCAGAATTTTGTGCACTGCTCCGTTTCTTTTTCAAAAAGGATGCAGATCAGATGACCGTGCCCCACTCCTTTTTCTGATCCCCAAATGTATCTTCCTCGTCAGTGTTGTCCCTTCACCCAGCTTCCAGCTCTTAGCCAATTTCTTCACACCCCTCCTGAGCTGAGCCTCCGTCGCCTGTGACATGTCCGCCTTCCGTCCTGGTCCCACCCCCAACCCATGCTGGACCCCAGAAGACCTCTTGCCGTGTACCCCACCCCCCAAAACACACATTTCCCCCCACCATCCTAATTTGTTCCTTTCAGTGGGGAAATATTTTCTCAGTGTTTCCATCCCTGATCACATACGCACACACCCACAAATTGTCTGATATTTTTTTCATTGGTTAAATATTTAACTCACCATGGCAGACCTTGTTTTAACCCCTCTCACATCGTGTTCTTTCCTTTTTGCGAGTTATTTTGCATTAACCAACGTCAGTGACAGATGCGTCTCTGAGGGTGTCACATATGACCTTCAACAGGGAAGACATCTGGGCCGTGGAGGACCACCTAATACATGGACTTACAAACTGACTGCATGAGCAATGAAAAGGCCAAATTATCCAGAGGTTTTTGGTTTTTTTTTTGAATCACTGTAAAAAAAAAAACAAAAAAAAAAACTGATTTCTTTTGTATAGAGAACACTAAACGTATAATAAAAGTTGTTCAAAATGGACTCTGACCATGTGTTCATCTTCCTTAATAGATATGAGAGGGATGTCAGGGGGTTAATGACAGGAACAAATCAAAGGGTTTTTCATGGGATTATACTTTCAGAATTCTGTGATACCAGCCCCCATCTTGAAGTTGGTCTGATCCTGGAAAACTCATTGGCACAATTTGTGTTAAACAGATTGACTGGTATAGGAATGTGTACGGCCATAGAGACACCCCCTGATTCAACGCGACTGTACATGTGCTCACACACCATTGAAGGTGCCATGTTGGGGGTGCTGGAAAGAGAAACGTGCAAAGCCACTCCTCTTTCTGCACGTCCGCCCTTAAAGGGGAGAACACTGCATTGTGCCTGGCACAGAAGGCATTTCATATTGCTGAATAATTAAAATTGCTTACAATAAGCCAAGCCCCTCAATAGACTCGCAGGAATCTCAATCAGCAAGCAAATAGAAAAGGGAAAGAAACAGAGAGGGTCGTGTTGGTTGAGGGGCTCTGCTCACCTTTTACCACGCCTCCTGTCTTCATGGTTGAGGAGGGATGTATTTGTGTTAATTCTCACTGAGGAGTAGCTGAAGAGCATCACCCAGGCAGGATGAATGGTGAGGGACCCCAGACGTTGTAGCCCCCTCCCTTTCCTCAGAGCGGTGTGGGCTAGAGTGGTCAGGGCTGAGAGGTGGTTCTGCTCATATAGAAAGATAGCTGATAGTTTATAGACAGTAATGGGGGAAGAGGGCAAAAGGAATTCCCTGAAAATGCAGATCCAACTCTCTTAGATAAAGAACCACCAAGTAACTATCCAATCCACCTGTGCTTACCCTCCCTTCAAAAGTCCTCAGAACAGAGCATTGACATGAGATGCTATTGCATCATTAGATTAAAATGAGACCTTATTTCCAGGTCTGGCTCCTCTTGAATTGTCGGATAACTCATTGGGTATGTCATACAACACCTCTAAACCTTCCTACTCACTCCTTGGAATATGAGAAAGATTTTTTTCTTATCACTCTCAAGTTCACAGTCCCTCTGAAATTTGTCCCTTATGTCCATTTGCACTGTCCCACCATTAGTCCAAGCCCTCATCCTAAATTGACAATCTCCTTGCCTCCTGGGTTGCCTACTCCCCCTTGTAACTGCAGCCACATGGATTGCCTAAAGTACAAACCTGGTATGTCACTCCTTTACTTGAAACCTTTAAGTTTGCTACAATACTTTGTTTGCTGCAATAGGGTAAACTCCA